GCGAAGCTGCGGGTAATGAGCTAGTGCTAATAATAAATCCAGAACTTTCACTTAAAAAACCAATTTTAAACTTTTTTAATTTGTAGATGCGACTCGCTGATTCGGCACAAAAAAATTCACAATGACATGAGGTGTATAGTGTTGCTAGTGGGAGTTCATATGGGTTGGGATACCAGTAAAAATCTTATTTTTCCCCCGGAAGTTTAAAACTCGTGTGATTTGATCCGTCAACTCACGACTACTTAGTTATACAAACACAGAGGAGGCATCAACGAATATAATTAATACTTTGCTATTGTAAGTATTTGATATATTTGATGTACTTGTATTATTTAAGACTTCAGCGAAATGTAGTATCATGTTTTCTAAGTATACGTATTACGCATCAAATTCTAAACAATGTTGACGTGATATTACACTGATATGGTACCGAAGGTTTACTGTTACAGCATGATGCATTAATATACACTACTGTTGTCTTCTAACTGGCCTTCAAAATATTGTTTTATAATTTTAATTTGCTTTATCTATGAATATAATCCTATATTTCAATTATTAACAAAAAACTTGATAAAATAAACTATTATTTTGTAATACAAAACTGCAAGTAGTTCGATACTTTTTTGAGATAATTTGATTATTGAATTTGAGTAATGGCAATAATGAATATAAAATAACTTATGGACAATAGAAGCTAAGACGAATGAATAACTTATATAACAAAAAAGGCGTAATAGGAATAATGATGTCAAATGTAGAGATTATGTAGTATGGAAAAAATAATTACTTGTGTCTTAAAAGTATAAACTGTTTGCACAAAACAGTAAAAGAAAAGATAGACTAAAACGCCTAAGTTGAATTATAGAAAGAAAACTGTATGACGCAATATATCAGAATGGTAGTATTGATAGATGTAATTACATTAAGGTTCTATTGAACTATGTTTGGATAGTTTTGAGTGTTTGTATTTGGAAAGAACAGTAAAATATTAGCTTAACTATTTGTAATCGTCTAGATCAACGATGACTAATTGTAATCCATTTCTTGATTGTTTGACGATGCTGAAGTAAAGAAGACAAGATAGACTCGATAGAGGAAGCCGATAGGGCAATTAGCGCCCTTTCGACTCACCTAACATCAGCGGTCGAAGAATGCTCCCGTAAGGTTCGTGTGTCGAGCGATCAATACACGAAACTTCCGGCGGATGTTCGACGGCTGATTAGAGCGAAGAATTCCGCGCTTAAAACATATGACCGCTACCGCACTGAAGCCAATAAACTTCGGGTACATTCTCTACAAAGATTAAACAACGAGTAGCCGAGTTTAAAAAGGATAGCTCGGATAACCTCTTAGAAGACCAGAAGAAGACCATCTCAAGACGCCTTCAGGAAATTAACGAGAGCTCTTAAAGCCGACAAATCTGCACCGATGCCACCTCTCGTGAGGTGGACCACCCCGATCTCGCCCTAGACGATCTCGAAAAAGCCGAATGCCTAGCCGACGGTCTAGAGTACCAGTGCACGCCATCCACTGCACCAATAGATCCCGCTCACCTACTAGAGGTAGAAACGGAAGTAGAACGTGGGTCTGCGCTGCCACCAGCGGGTGAACCACTCGATCCTGTGACAGTAGATGAAGTCACAGAAACCATCAAAAGTCTTAAGAATAGATCGGCACCTGGGCTAGACGGCATCAGTAACAAGTTGATCAAATCCCTTTCGGCGCCACTTATTTGCCTCCTTGTAGGAATATTTAATACATTTCTCACGAACTGCTCCTTCCCGAACATCTGGAAAGAAGAAAACGTAATAGCGATCCCAAAACCGGGTAAACCGCGTAATCGTCCCTCTAGCTACAGACCCATTAGTCTGCTCAACACATTGGGCAAACTATCCGAGCGCATCATTCATAAGCGTCTCCGTCATTACACCGAATCTAGCGGACTCCTCCCAGACGAACAGTTTGGCTTTAGAGCCAATCACTCATGCACCCACCAGATTCATCGCCTAACAGATTACATTCTGTCTTGCTTCAAACAAAACCCGATAAGGAAAAAGGCCCGAAACACGGGAGCCCTCTTCTTCGATGTCGCGAAGGCATTTGGCAAGGTCTGGCACGACGGCGTGATTTACAAGCTGTACAAGCTAAACGTGCCCGATAGGCTCGTGCACATCGTACGAACTTTCCTTTCGAACCACACTTTTCGATATCGAGTGGAGGGAACCCGTTCTTCGAAAAGCTTCCTCAAGGCCGGGGTCCCATAGGGCTCCGTCCTATCTCCACTCCTCTTCACACTCTTCAGAAGTGATATCCCTAGAGACCCCGTAGTGAACACCGCACTCTTTGCCGACGATACGGCACTCTTTTTGTCAGACCACAACAAAAATAGACTCTCTGTAAAGCTCCAAAAAAGCGACCAATCGCCTTGGTGAGTGGTTCCACCTATGGAGAATTGACGTGAATCCCGAAAAAACTGTAGGAATATACTTTCAACGGAATTCAACAGCAGGTTCTAAATCCAAAACAATCTCTTTATACGACCGCCCAATCCCTTGGGAAAAATCGGCCAAATACCTAGGCGTCACGTTTGACTCCCGCATGAGTTTCACGACGCACATAAGTGTAGTACGCAACAGAGCCAAGTCAATAATTGGCCGTCTACACCCGCTCGTTAACAGCAAGAGTAAGCTGTCACTAAGACACAAATTACGGCTGTACAAAACCTGCATTAGACCAATTATGTCCTATGCAAGTGTAGCTTTCGTCCACACATATATGACCCATATTTTAAAACTCCAAAGATTACAAAACTTTTTCATCCGAAAAGCCACCGGTGCATGGTGGTATCAACGGAACTCTGATTTACACAATGATTGTGAATTACCATCTATCTCTTCTCTCAAGGAGATCTTTCAAGGACATGTCCCAGCGCTACTTCGATAGAGTAGTAACTCACCCTAACCCGCGATTGACAAACGCAGCTAACTACGTTCCGATATCAAACGTCGCGCCCTATCTTCGTAGACCGCGAAACGTGCTAATAGAACCACCTCAACCGCTCGTTCCAGTCGACCCAAACGTCGCAGGCACATCACACAACGACACTACTACACCCACACTAAATGGGACAAACACCACTAGAACAACGAATGGGACGCGTCGCACCGGCAGACGGGCACGACGCGTTCCAGCTCACACCGCGTACACACCGTACACTCGCGGTCCTGGACGGTTCTCACCGCCCAGAACATTGACCGTCACGAGCTGAGCAGTCAAAGACGGGGGTCCGCACTCCCCCCCTTGGAGTGCGATTATATAGCTCAAAGAAAAACGCCTAAAAAGGCGACATGATGATTGGTAACAATATCAAATCACAAACCATTTCGTCATCATCCTCACCTCATTGCCTTTCCGTTCTTTATATAGTCAGATGAAGCTGTAAGAGTCGCATAGATTAACAGCACAAACATCTAAATACTAGACTAGATACTAGAGCGCGCGCGTAGTCGGCGAGCGGCGGCGGCGTGGGACACAGCTCCGGGACAGCAAGAAGGAGCGAGCAGCGGCTTTGAAGACACGGCTCACAATTGGTCGACGGATATGTGACGATAGCGGTGTGTGAAGACGATGTGGTGCTGAATGATATTTGCGGCTGCTTCTTGTTTCTTTATAAGAACGTTAAATATATACGTCAAATCATCGATATGCAGTCCGCAGTATCTTAGTGGCCGAGGATAGTTAGGAAATAAATGTTTTTATTTTCGCCTTCTGTGTTATGGTAGCAGCAGAGTATATATTATTTATTCCCGTTTAGGGTTGGTTAGCCTGGCTGCTACAGGTCTTTAAGTTAACGGGCATAGATAAGTCTATGCTCTCAAAATTAGCAACCCTTCCCATTTCAACATGGAGAACCGCACACTTATCTGTCCCCAACTCCATACTGATGGAACTGCTGAATTCAAGAGTGATGTTCAGCAATTCCATAAGATGGAAGCGACTGGAGGCAAATAACTTGAGGTAATCCGCATAGAAAAGGTGGGTTACTTAAGTCACTCCCTTCTGTAGCTGAAGTCTGTGGTATCCTAATTTTTATTTTTATTTTGTTATACGTACGGCGATATTATAGATACGTATAATTTGATTTATATATATTTGCTCATTAAAAACAGCTAGGGCTTGCATCAGAGCATTATTTTACAATAATAAATATCAAAATCACCAATGAAATATAATGCTGAATAATATTAAAGCCAGCTATGCAGGTGTGATTAGAATCTTTCTGATCGATTGTAAGGGCTGCTATGGCCATAGTTCACTGTTAAACCCTGTATTTTTCAATAAATGAAAAGAGTTGCTTTACTGAGAGCATTACCACTTCCTTTAGGCCAAGTATGTAGATTGCCACATGAGTATTATGCTTGTGCATCGAGGGTCTGCAATGAGATAGGATGTGTGGAGGTGTTTCTTCAAAATATGCAGTTTGTTCTTACTTAAGCCCAGGGCTTCTGAAGTAATATTACAATCATATGCATTTGCATTAAAGTATTGAAATGTTTTAAGCCTCGTGTATCAGAGCAGATCTTAAGTAACTTCGTTGATCAGAAGTCAAAGTTTGACATCATATGAGAAAACTTAACCATAACAACATGAAACTTAGCAGCATTATGTGGAGCCCATTCTCCGAACGCTTTCAAAGAAATCTAGATTAGGTAGTAAGAGAGATAAATGCTTATTATATTAGTATAATCAATAAATCAATGACATATAAAAACAAATAACCAAAATGACTGCACTTAAAAATATCATGGTCTTTTATGCACACTTATCGATGTAAATATTAATTAATGGAACATCTAATTGTTTGTTCTAAAAACTTAGAAAGTCCTTCATAGTTTTGTGTGTGCTCATACACAGTTCATTATGCGATCCAAATTTCCATATCCAATATGTATCTAGCGCCATTGTAACCATGCGCACAACCCTCGCCCACCAGCATTGGGTTAAGCGCCCGCACCACAGCCCGATTGCGCTTGCTTAGGGGTATGCGGGGGAAGTCGCGGTCGATTTTCGAGAGGCGTACTGCGCGTTTCTAGCATCGGCTCTTCCAATATGTTCCTCATTGTCTCTAATTTGTGGGAGACTATTCCATCGTCTGAATTAACCACAACTGGAATATCCGCGGTGGAATCCACGCATGCTGGTTGCTGTGCAATTAGTAGCACCGCATTCCCAGGCGTAGCATTTTTATCCGACGAGGGAACAGCCTCACGTCGTAGTCGTTCGGGTTCGGCGTCACCAAATATGTTGGAGCGCAGGATGTATCGAACTCCGTCTGACAGGTTTTGCTCAGTGACGGTTAGAGATGGCTCCAGCTCTGCAAAAAAGCGATGCGTCCGAGCCCGATACGCCAAACTTCGAGTTTCTTCCCCTTTTGCCCTAAAGTACACCCGCAGTACCTTTGCGTTCATTATTTGTGACCAATGCACGGGACGTGCTCCACCAGCGGCGAGTCCCGCTTGCTGAGTCCGAGAAGACCCAGCCAACACCAAGCCTTCTGGTGAGGATGATGAATGGGGGGGGGGGTTTGCTAGGTGGTCTTGCAGCGTCCAACGCTCGGCTCGCAGCCTGCATGCTGTCGCGTCCAGCGCTAGCTCCAGACGCGCCCTGGCGACCTCGGGACAGCAGCCCTTTGCGCACTATCTTTACGTCCATCATCCATAATTTTGGCGTGAATTAACGGGAGACGCCCAGGACCGGCATCGTTTCGTGTGGGGCCATAAGCACAAACGGGCCTTTGCACCCTAAATTCTGCCGAGGTACGGCGCTCAAAACTCTTGGCAAGGCGCTGACTGACTGCACTGACGTAGCAGTTTTGTCACTTTACTGTTACGTCAGCGGGCGACGGGGTCCTCAATTCCCTACGCCAATTCATTTTATTAATATTATTATCGTTATTATTATTAAGGTTCTAATACAATTATGATTTCAACATCACGGACACTCCCTCGACAGACAACAAAACGTGCAAAGCGAAATGTTTCGAGCCCATTGAATACTTTATAATGGTTGTAAATCTCAAAATCGTAAATGTTTAAGCACCCAGCGTAACTGCCTAAAGGGTGAGCTAAACCACCCGTCCAACTACAACCGAAAAGAAGTTAGTACTATAATTCATTATAATAGTTTTTTATTATAATGAATCATTATAACATTAGGAGATGCTTTCTTATTAATATGGTAAGTTAACATCGTATTCACGGAAAGTATAAAACATTGTTAATTTCGGTAGGTATATAAACTTTTCTCAAGCTGTCGTTTTATATATTAAGTAGTAGTTAACCTATATAAATAAATAAAATTGAAGTGTCTGTTTATCGTTACGGTTTATTAAAGACCACTGCTAGATATAGGCCTCCATCATAGATTGCCTCACAGGGTAATAGGGGGGGGGGGGTTGATATTTGCCATAGTTGCCGCACTTGGCAAGCGCTTCTTAATTTTAGTCGTTATTGGGGAGACGGTGCTGCCCATCTCCTGATTTGTGTCCCTTACGACTGTGCCTCTTACAACACCCACGGAATGATATGGGGTTGTGAATATTATTACACCGCCACTATGCGGTAAGTTCTCTACTTACAGTTTTTTTTCTGTAACAGCTTTTACCAAATGCATATGAAAGTATGCACAGTACTTATAACAAATAAACAATATTATAAAAATTTTATCTGTGACATACATTTCATTTGTTCCGGCTTGTCTCGGAAATGGCTGGAACGATTTTGACGGGACTTTACTGCTAAATAGTTGATGTTATGTGTGTGAGTTAACTTTTAGTTAAAAAGAATTAGGGTTACGCGCAAAAAAATTTAAACCCGTGGAATCCAGTTGTAACAATTTCTACGCGGACGAAGTCGCGGAGAATAGCTAGTTTTCAATATTATTGTCAACTAGCAACCTGCCCTGGCTTTGCATAGATAGGATCTATTAATGTGGCGTAATTTGGATTTAATATTGCCAAATACCATTTTTATTTTATCTATTTTTGTTTTATTAAAATATCTTTAAGTTTTTTCGATAATATATAGCCTAGGTCTTTAAGGATTGCTCTCGATCTGTTCGTAAAGTGTCATCACAATCAATTCAGCCATTTTGAATTTTGACTGATGACAGAATGATTATTTATATCTTAATATTAAGCTTTAATATTAAGTTATTTCAATATTACAAATACTTTTAGTTTATTTATATGTATAGATAAATACTTGTAGCTTCGTACACTATACAATTGTATTGTAAAATTTTTGCTCTAGTTAGTACCCACAGTTTCGTTTCATTATACAAATCAAACACGAGTATGGACTAGTATACGAATATGGATACATAAAAGTATCTGCAATATGTAGCAGTGACTGTAACGTTAGAAAAAAAACCGGAAGGTTGCAATAATATCGTTCAAATTTTGCGTGCTTAGCTTATGGCTAAAACGTAATATATTACATGAAGTCATAAGTCAAGCTAGAAAAAAAAGACGTGTGGCACTCGGGGACTGCCGCGGTAATGCTATTGCATAGCATTTTGTATCAACTTATGCAATTATAATTATTTATTTATTTTATTTATGCAGTATTTCTTTTTCTTTGATATTAATTCAAGTTACTTAGGTTAATCCAATCAAATTCAACCAGATTTAACCGAACCCGCGTTATAACGAACTCACTATTTGTGAAAAATACTGTATCACCGGACCGCGTCGCAAAAAACTCAGGTTCGCGCAGTACATACGTCAGGGCGGCCGTACGGCAATTATATTAACAAGACGCGCAACTACTCAGTTCCACGCTCCACGGCAAGATTTGTCACTTATTATTTATTGTCCAATTAATTGTCTTTAAGTTCAAATGGCACGCTCTATTAACATAAGTCTAAGACAAAACAAGGAGACTTTCAATATATGAACAACCCGGCTAAATGTTTATTAAAAAATAATAATTTCTTAATAAACATTGATTTTCGTTGAAATTGTTGTTTTTAATAAACACATAACATTATGTATGTACATATGTACTACAAATGCACAAAACCCGCTTTTCTTCATACATTCGATCATCCGGATTTTCGATTATCCGAATCCCTAACGGCAACAATTAGTCCGGTTAATCGAGTATATATATACATATTGAGAATCTAAATTGAGAATTTAAACTATACGCGTGTGTGTGTTTGTGTGTATATAAAGAGGGCTACTTTTAATATCGCTCATTTTAATATCAAAAATTTAGGTTATCTTTATAGCAGTATTATATTTTCAATTCAAAATTAGTACTGCATTTGTGATAATAATAAAATGTAGGTATGTACTCGTATATAGAGTACTCACTCATTTTCTTTCACTATTTTTTCGTGACTTTCTTCATTAATAATAAATGCACTTTGTTCATTCATATTCAAAATTTCAAAACACTTTATACACAAACACCGTGTCGAAGACTGAGGAAAAGAAACGACGTTAAACCATCGTTAGACAATGCACGGCCTTCAAGCCACACCTCCGTGCCCGTCGGAGAGCGTGAGGTTTTTTCGTTACGGAATTTCTGGATTTTCCCGCACTCAAGGCCCGCGATAGAAGCTATGCAATAGCTTAAAATTACCCATAAATTGACAGTTTGGTTTACGTAACGGTTAATTAAAAATAGCTGCTTTAAATATCGTATCATAAATAACTGTTTTTTTTTCGCGTATATTGGTAGGGTTAACAAACGGTAAAACTATAGATATTCGGTACTTGCGTACGGATTTGGAGGGACGGGGGTGCAGGAGATGTATAGTTTATGAGAAATATTTTTTTTATTAAATCATAACCTCACTTTTTACACAGGAATACTGAGCCAAAGTTACTTTCCCGTGGACATCGCACAGCCATACCGTTTGTGGACGGCGTCGTAGCGCATAGCGATACATCGACTATCTTTCGGATTGAGATGAGTGTATTTGGTAGCACTTTTAAGTGTAGCAAGCATACTCAACTTCATGTCTTAGTGCATTAGCGCTATGATATGTGGAATTTTGTCCACTGGCGTCTTAGTAGCGCGCTACTATAACACGTTGGTGTTATTTTTAGTAAACAACAATACAAATTTTGTTACCAAAGTCGCTAGGGATCATGTGTGTTTTGAGGGGGCGTCATCCGTATGAAAGTTGCATTGATGGTTACTTACTTACTGATGATCCGCACTTACGGTATTGCGTCTTGTGACGGATCTGCGAGTGTGCTGCGCTAATTTGACGCATTTTTTGTTTCTGGTTGATGGAGGTATGCGGGTGTTGATGTCTGCTGGGATTGTGTGGGAGATCGTGGGATGTTGTAAGCCCGACGATAGTCGTATTGATGCTTGTTGCGTTCTACAGCATTACATCTCTGCGATTGTTGTTTGACGGGTCGCTATTCTCAATGGCGCTCTCTGCGTCTTGGTGGACTCACACCTAAGTAGCTTTAGCCAAGTCGGGTCACTTCATTACGGAGATACAGACTCTATGACCTCCATGATATTTATATAACAATATAATAATACTTGAATGATTGAAGGTTGCTATTTTTTACTTTTAAATGGGGCAATAATGCGAAGAACTTAATCGTCATCATTACAGCCTATCAAAAGTCCAAATAAGTCTCCCCCATAAATCCTCAAATAGGCTGGATATTTGCTATGACGATATGAGGTGGCGGATTCTCTTTCGCCGCAAAGGCGAACATTTTTCTACTTCCATTTATGAGTGTAGTTCTTCCCACTCTTTTACTGTGAACAGAACTTCATTTGGAATGGACCTAGTTTTAAGAATTTTAACTTTTTTTATACTTTACAGCATCCAAGGTCACGAAGGTGACCGGAGTGTTTGACGTCCTGATGTTATAGTTAACGAAGGCTCTAATAGTCTTGCAGTAGTATGCCCGGGTTTAAATTTAATTTTAGTAATTATGGGATCCCAAGCAGATGGTTGCACCCAGGCATGTTCTCTGTTGAAATTAGGATAGCCTCGTAAATCATTCTTGGTAGGTATCGCGGCTCTTTTGCGAGTATTTATGGTCTATCAGATCTGATATAATGGTTGGTACGATACTGAACATGTTGACATACTTCAGACTTCCTGGAACTTCAGTGTTTCACTTCAGCGATATGTTCTTTTACGCGGGTTTTTAGGGATTTTTCATCCAAAGATGCGTAGAAAAACTAATGTAAAAAATTAAAATTAAATACGATAAAATTAGTAATTTTTTTTAATTCTATCTGCAGTATTCGCGTAAATAGACGACAGTGAAAAAAAGTCATTGTTTTGTTAAAACTTAACTAACTTTAATTAAGAAAGAATGTAAATATTAATAACGCAAGTTTTTCCTAATGTAAAAATGTGAATGAAAAATCTATTCCAAGGCAATTTGTTAATTGATAATTGCCTTTATTATGGGTACATC